ATTACACTGTACACAGTGAGTCTATCACCGTGTGTACCCCGGAATAGTAGCGGCAGTGTGGAGAACTAAGGAGCGGTTTGCACAGGTGTTAGCGGCACACCTTGGTATTGACAGTGGAGTTAGAGATTTATTTAGTGTTGTGTAAAACACCGAGGAAAGGATTAGGAGTTGACTCTGAGGCACGTAGCAAAAGAACAGAAATCTTGAAAGAACATGTTCGTTTCAGGGTCAATGTCGGGCGTAGGCTTCTTCTGTTTTCATACTCCAGGAGATCAAAGTATTGGGCATCAGAAAAGCTCTTACCTACTTGTGGAAAAAAGTGGAATAACAGCCATGCTTTGTGGTATTGCACCCAAACATAAAACTAAGGTGTGTATTCAATTTGATCTGGCATCTTCTAGAGTTCAGTCGATCAAATACACAAAAGTTCGGCGAAGTTTCGACGCTTCAGTCTGCCCTAAAATCTCATCGTGGAAAACGTTTTTTTTTTTACTAGGCACTGGCGTTTTATAGTAATACTACCGGACAGACCGTCGGTGTGGAGTTACCCCGTCTCCCATTCACAAAAATTCGACCGATGACCCGTGAAATCTGTGCCACGCGCTGGCGATGACGTCGTGCCCTCTGATTGGCTGATGGGGCGATAATGATCTGTTAGGCACGCGCCTTGTCAAAACAATGCTTACTATTAGCGCTTCACACAATAGTGAGACTGGCAGTTGCCCCGCCTCCCCCTGCTATCAATAGCCCCGCCACGCGACAGACACGAGCCATTCGAGCCCCAGCCAGCTTGGGAGCAACCCCGGAAGCGAGAAAATAGGGAAAATCTTCTAAAAATTCAGTTTATCATCGGATTTATGGACTTTCTTGTTGCTAAGATGGGAGGGAGGAGTCGTCTGTTTGGATTAACTTCGGCTGGAAGAAGTGTCAGGGCGGCGTGGGACGTTTCCAGATGGACCGCCATATGGTTCGTGTCTTTGTTCTCACAAACATGGCTGTTACTCGGATCGGGTGCGAATGGACTTCACCTGGACCCAATCTGGGAGTTATCGGGAGGGAGTTCGGGGTTGCGGGCGGAAGACAGGCGCCCCAAGACCGCGGGGGACGGACAGTCTACCGCGGGGGTCCGAACCGGGCTCCCGGGAAGCAGGAATTCTACCTCGGAATGCCTTGGCTCTCCGCGCCTTGGAAATGGCATTATGCTGCGGACAAAGGGCGTCTGTTCACTAAAGCCGCTGCCCGCACGTGAACCATAACACGCTACACCTTCTGTGGCGAGTCTGCGGTGGGAAAAAGCCGCGATTTCGCCCAAGTTGTGGGGATTCAAACCTCTGGTTGTCTCTGAGGAGCAAGGAGACTTGACAGTCCGGGGATTTGGCGGCCTTGGAGGAGGAAACAAGGCCAGATGGAAAGAGGTATCGGGAGCGAGCAACATATGGCGAGGTGTGGGGCTGTCTTACGGCGCAGACTACTGGCGCCAAGTGTTTTCATAGCGTCAATGGGGCAGACTTTCTCACACACACAGCCGCACATGTTCCGTCCGTCAGCTAACAAAGTGGCGATTCAAGCCCCTCCAAATGACAAACACAGCCAAACTCGCAAGCGTGAAAAGGATACTTCCTGACCAAGAAAGTGGGAGGGACACAAATCAAACTTGAGCCTCCCGGCGTCTTACAATCTCTCCTCAGGTGGTATGTTGTTCCTCCGTTCCCAGCCGTGTTCTCTAGCCGAAATACACGCAAAACTATAAAGAATTTGTTTCCACTGCACCACAATGTACATTTAAACCTATGAAAAAGCTAGGAGGGTGCTATCATTTTCAAGTTTAACTAGAAATCGTGTGAAATTTATAAAGTTGTTTGGACCTCATTGGTCACACGCGCGGGACGGCAAGATGAGAAGTTTTCGCACAGATAAACTTCCCGCCATCGGAGCAGATGGCAATTTATCAATGCTGATGCTGGGAGGTCCTGACAAATTTTCAATCGGGTAGTTAGATTGCGGGGCACGATAAGTGGCTAGGCCGGGCCGCCAGCTGACATAATTTCTCGGGCAGTAACGGAATCCGAGCCTCAATCTCCCTGAGAGAACGGCAAATGTGTATTGGACTTTTTTTGTAGGAAAAGTACTCAAAACACGAAGGAGTAAAACGTAAAAAAGAATGATGGGGTGAAAATGGGACCGGAAGAGGTGATTGCATCCACACGTGTGGGAGCTGTTGTCATCAGTGATGAGACCCTTATTTATTGACCTGTCATCACTTCCGTTTGGATTATCACTGAAAGTTCGGCATGCCAGGGGAAGCGAATGTCTTCATCGGAAAGTTGTCAGATTTCACAATTTTTTTTAGAATTGGCATTTGGCAAAATAATCTGACAAGCTAAAATATTTTTTTCCCAGGGATTTTCGAGCAGGCTGAAGTCTCTTTTGCTTTGATTTCGAACTTACATTAAAAACACAAAAATAAAACTGAAAATGCTCAAACTACACTACAATAACATGAACAATAAAGCTCCAACGATAGAGTAGCAAACATATTTGGACATTGACTGAAAATTTTCTCTGTTCTGGACTTCTGGTACCGATAATGTTAGGCCATGTTATACTCTGAACATGAGTGTGTGACACCGGTGCTATTAAAAATCGCATTTTGGAGGACAGAACGAGACAGGCAAGGAAAAATGTACATCATGTGTTCAAGCACGATTAGTAGTAGTAGGACAGTGTCCAAAGAGCCACACCACTAATGAATAAGTTCTTCCAACAATTGTGGGAGGACAACACGTGGAGTTGACTGCAGATGGAGCGAGGAAAGTTAACAGTAAACAGTCTGTGTGAGTATCAAAGCAAACTATGCGTTTTGTCCAACTCCAAAGGCCTTCAGTTCCAACAGATGGGGCGCAGAATGTGCTACGTTGGGAAAACAAAGTGCGAGAACGCCACCCTGCTTTTCACCGGGCTGACCCCACGGTTTCATGCTGCACCCGTTGCGAGTTTTCCCGGGAAAAAAACTCGCCATGTGGGCCTCGTTCCGGTGCATTCTTGGCGTCGCGCTGGGGAAACCAAGGGCAGTCAAAAGTATTGTTAACAAAAGTACCGCATTCCACGCACCCGTGGAAAAAGGAGAATGTAAAAAAAAAGCAGGAAGTTCTTTCAACTTGCACTTGTGAGTTTTCCGAGGGAAGATTTGATGATAAATGTGTTGTAGAATTGATAGTTTCCATGGGCTGTATTCCACTAAAAGTTCATCATGCGACATTGCTAACCAAAATGGAGAGACTGTTACAGCTTTTACTAAGCTTTTACAGGTACAATTGCAATCTTGTATTCTCCTGTACAGGCGCCTGCACATGTTTTGGTAGACTACTTGGGTACGTTTTACTGCCTTAATTCGTGGGCTGAGATGTAGTTTATTGAATAAACAGGTGTTTCCGAGACAGCCACATTTTTTACACAACAGAAGCTGAGTCACAAATAGTAGAGCGTCGCGCCAAGGAAAACCAGGCGAAGTCGTGAGTAAAGGGAAAACGGTAACATGTGTGGCTTGTTTTACTTGGTATGTGGCCGGCCCTGCCCTTGTAAACCTAGGAATTGTCGGAATTGAGACCAGATTAGACAAATTATTATAATTTCTGGAGCCCGGCGCCACAGAGAATCAAGTTCCATGAGAAAGACCATTGGGGCGAAGACGCAACAATGATTTCAGCGGGTGTGAAGGCATGTGGTCCATGATTCCCAACAAAACCCACTTTTGTACCGGCAAAGACGGACCACCACAAAACCAGCTCAGAGGATTTCTAGCCAGACAGCTTGGTTTTCCGACGAACAAGAAATTATACTGTAATGGGCAAGTGGAAACACTTTTTTGGGCGTGAAGGATCGATGGTCCTCAATGTTCTTGCACAGTGAAAGAATAAAAAGAAACTTCTAAAACCTTGAAACAAGGAGCTTGCTTGAAATGAAGTGGGCCAAAACTCTAAAGTGAACTTTGGCGACTGAAAGATAAAAAAACGAGGATTGTGGGATTTAGCGTCAGACTAAATTTGTCGGTAAGATTTTTGTGTGCATTTCGCAATCTCAGCTCGGCCGCCCAGCTGCACAGCCCCGGCGTGTGTACCGTCAACAACAACAGCCGTGTGTTGACTGTCTAATGGTAATCGCCTCAAGTTTGTACAAAGCATCGACAGGCAATTAGACGAGAAGTCATACAAACGGTCACACAGATGTGCAAAGTTGCCTCGAGACATCTCGCCCCTTTTGTTCAACTTCAAAAAGTTTTATCTCGACTCTTTTGAGATACACCCATATGGCGCTGGTATGCGCACATTCCGACACAGAACATTCTGATTTTTCACTTGTAGGAAATATCAACATCTCTGAAACAACACGCTGGCATTTGCTCGTTTTTCCCACCAATGTTTCAGCGGGACTGCCATAGTTTTATTTTCACGGCCAGCAAACCGATTTTCCCCGGCCCATGAGTAACAGAGCGGGAGGAATGCACCCCGAGGTATATTTTCTGCGTCCCACGCCTGTAGCCGTATGCAAATGCACAGGTGCGCTTGGAAGGGGGCGAAGGTGACAACATTAGGGCTCCATTTATCAACAAGGATCGGCCGCAAGTGTACGGGCGCCTTGTGCGCGGATTTGATTGGCGTGGTCGTCGCCATGGCGACCGCCAGCCCGACGCCAGTTTGACAGGCATCAAGCGGGGATGAATGGGTGACGTCACGACACTGGCGCCAGAGAGGCGCGCCTGGCTGTTGTTGATTGCGCCGTGTTCGCCCAAATTAATCACATGTCAAATATGATTGTGGCTGTCATGCGAAAAGTACACACAGCCCGGGTGCAGCTGTGGGAACGTACCAACTCGACCCCCGAGTGGCGGTGCCAACCCGTCCCGAACCCGAGAAAAGTTCCAAAACACGCCGGTACGCTTTCCCGACGGGGGAATCCCTGTGTGAAAAGGGCCGTGTGACGTCACGAAGCCCCTAAAAATCCGGCTATCGGGAGGCACCGGTTCTCAACATGCAGTGCCCCACATGGTGGCGACGGGGCGCCCCAGGGTGGAGCAGTTCAACACGACGTGTTACTTCTCGCCTTCTGATTGGTCAGAGCGCTGACATTAGTGTCAAAATAACAATGGTGTCGGTGATTGCCCCGTGCCCATTGGTTAGGTCGGGTGAAGGGGCGTGGCCTAATTGTGTCCACAGCTGGGAAAGCCGCTGTTTGTTTGGTTCAGATATAAACCTTCGACATCATCAGAGCCACAGGCATTCCTAGAGAAACATTCTCAGCGCGTGTACCGTGAAGGATACCTACCAGCGATCGCACACGGATTTTATCGTCGAGAGAAGTCGCAGCAGTTATTTTCTACGGTTCCGAGATGAAGCCGCAAAGCCCGATGTCTGCGCTGCCAGCCAGCGAAGCCGCCCTTCGGAAGCTTCACGACCCCATCCCGATGAAGGCGCTAAAGACGGCCCTTCCCAGCTCGTCCGGCTTACAGTCGCTGTACAACATGGACATGAACGACTGTTACTCTAAGTTGAGGGAACTCGTGCCGACAATTCCTAGCAACAAGAAGATCTCGAGAATAGAGATCCTCCAGCATGTAATAGACTATATCCAGGACTTGCAGACGGCGTTGGATGGACATCCGGGAGTGCAAGCCTTGTCGCTGTCTGTAGCAGGGATGCCGGAGACGAGCCCGACCGGCCGGGATAGAAAACCCCTCGGCGCCCTCGCACTCACACAAGACGGCAACAACAGACAAACACACACACAGGTAAGATCTTTTATTTCCTACGGTTCTGTTAACATTCGCGCCACCACGCATGTTTTCATCCAGTGCCATTCCGTGTGATTCCCGTGTATATTTACCGATTTATGGCTCCATCGCTCTGTCGCACCCTCGACATGTGTATTCATGTCTCCGCTAACGTTTTCGGTGCTCAAGTGTTGTCACAGTGAAGTGTGTACATGCCGTAAGGCTTGTGGATGCCCTTACAATCGTTTGAAAATGTGTTTCCTCGTGAAATCGCCACTTCCGCAGCTGTTCTGGTAGCATGTTCACGTTTCCCCATACGTAATACCGGCGCCCGCCCCACCTAAGTGCAGTTCCGTACGTGCACTGACTAGGCACACCGCCTCGTCATGACCTTGCACGCCCCTGAAGATGTAAAGGCGTTAATAATTTTTCATAGAAAAAAATACAGTGAAGTCTCGCTTTCCGTAGGAATAGGTAGATAACGAGGCAGCAAAACGCAGAAGTTACATGTGAAATTCTTCCGTTCCGTATGACGGCCGGGGTCACAGGAAATTACATGGAAAATGTCCTGCGGTTTTTACATTCAAATCCTCAGCAGTAACATTAGTATGTGCTAACGTTTTTTTAATGCCTCTCAATGTCTCAGTATACAAGTGGATCTGTTATGAAATAAATGGTACGGTGTTGTAGCCAGCGCCTGAAAGGGCAACGGTGCGGTGTTGTTGCTACACGCCTCTAAACGTTTCCTGTTTTCCCAAAACCGCGCAAGAGAACAACACACGATTTCCTGCTTGTGCATTCGTATGATTCCTACCTTTTGTGTTGAAAGCTGTATATTAATTACAGTAGTTACCCGTCCCGACATGTGCTGAAGTACATGTGTCAACAACCGACAACATCACTAACGTTAGTCAGGAGGGCTCGCTATTCTGGTTTTTTTATCTTGAGAAACATCACCATCGCCGCGCACCTGTGTAGCTGATTACGTCACGATTCTGACATTAGCGCTTCCACGAATTTTATCAGTAATTGCAGATACACGAAGGTAGAATGTTCTGGGCAATGGGTTAGCTTTTTTTGACTGGAAAAAATGTGAGACATTTGTGCATGTGGGGTTGGGTGTATTTTTGCAAGATTGGTGCTCTATATAGGAACCAGTTGTGTATGTACATCATAACCCAGCAGCTGTGTGGCGCTCCTCCTTGCTGGAAATGGTTAGGAATTAGCTCGTCAAACATTCCAACCTTGATAACCATCCAACATGGCCGGTCATGATTTCTGTTCATAATTTTTTTAAAGAACGAGTGGACAGATGTATTTAGGTACGTGAGAAAATTTTATTCGCATCGTCGATGGCCATATTGATCAGCTGAACCCATTTCATTTCGGATTCAGTCCAGACAAATTTATAATTCATCCAAAGGAGCAGACATTCCGAGGTTTTTCCTTCCTCTTTCGGTGGAAGAAAACCTTTACGTCGCATGTTTTGTGTCTCCTTCGCACGTTTGAGTTGTGTTGCCGCCGGCTGTAATTGAGGACACGTTGACAGACGAAGTAATTCAGACCGTGTTGTCTCAAGGGCAAGGGGACACTCCGGCGCCACAACCTCCTCACAATTCAAGCTTCGTATTTCCTCTGGCGCAGTTCTAGCTTACGACTGAAGCGGTCGTCAGGACATGAAATACTGTTTTGATCGATGAGGTTGGTTTTATTTTCATTGAACGTTGTTGGTAAATCTCTCCTTTAATTGCCCGTCCTTAAGCGGTCGATATCATTTTAGAATTCTTCACGAGGCTTCAGCAGCGTCAGCTTTTCGCTAAAGACAGCCACAGAAGATGATCCTGCCTTGCGTCGTCCCATGTGTGTAGTGTAAATTCTACCGCACAGACGACTCGTGTATCCCCACACCCAACAACTCAACACCCCGACAACAGCCGGTCCCAATCTCATGTTCCTTCTCACCGGCCACATTCTTGCCTTGAGATATTGCGGGGCCCCCACCGCCCAACCATCCCAAGACAAAACTGGGTGGCGCCAGCCTGCAGACGTTGAACAACTACGTATGTTTCAACCAAAACAAATGCGGGATAGGAGAGCGTACATCCTGTGCACAGTGGTTCCACCTGCTGTTGTGATAACAGATCCCCCACCTGAACAGAGAGTTGTTCTAACGCCACCCTCCTACGCAAATGATACTTTTCCACCGAAGCTCATTTGACCATAAGCTCTACTGATCCTGTCATTGTTCAAAGATGTATCAATGTTGACATTTTCTCTACCAGATTAATTAATGTGTTTTTCCTTATGTCTCTCCAGGCACTGCTGTCAGATAAGCCAGAGACAGTTCTACCCACCACAAGAGTGTGCTAGCCCTAGAGAGAGAAGTCATCCTTTGAATCAGGTAGGAACTTTTTCTATGATTGTCACTTTATACATAGAATTTGAAAAAATCATTGTAACTGTAGATCAAAAATGACAAAAATTCTCCCAATTGACACTACTGTTGACAGTTTCTATGTTTGGCTGGCCCAGTAATTCAAGGATACATGATCAGACTAATAGGTAATCCATTGACACCTGATCACCTGAGGCCTCACCTGTGGGCGCACCTGGCCGTCCAGGTGGTGAGAACGGGATGGGTGGAGCCTGGCACCTAGTTCCCATTTCGCGGCCTATTGTTTGCCAGTGTAGTTCACTCATTCACAATTACCTCATGACTTCTTTCTAAACTTCTCAATGTAATGTGGACAAAGGTCTCCCCCTTAGTTGGAAGATGTGGGTGTTCCGAACACAATAGTTCAGTTTTGTGGGTGGAATAAATACTAATTGTTGTCAGAACCAGCAGACAATTTGTTTCTTGGTGCAACCTGATAGGCCGTTTGTTGTATTTCATTTGTAAAATTGCACCTGTCTTAAAGAAAACAGCTTATGGTAGGTGGGAGGTTGTGAAAAGGAGAAGCCATTGAAGTTGTAGTGTATTCACCCTAATGTCTTTCATGCTCTGTAAAGGGTGTGGATGAATAGGGTAAATAAAAGAGACACCTAGTGGGGATATGTTTACAGCTGGTTCATGTTCACCATTGAGTGATGTTGATCTGTTTCTTACCATGTTTTCTGGCTTGTTTCCAGGTGAGAAACCGTAGCGGTGTGCCAGAAATGTCATCCCCTGTCAGCCTGTGTTGCCCACCCCTCTGCAAGGAGCGAAGCGATGGAACCAACCAACGCTCTCCTCATCCCTGCCTCCATCATTGAGAATGCAGCACTGGCTAGCCAGACATTGTGCAAAGACTCAAAGTGTTGTTGAAACCAAAGGACACACTGACTGTTGTAGAACCTGATAACGACACCAGGTGTTTTACCTGTCTGCAGTTGTAATTGCTGCATTGTTAATACTGACCATAAGGACAGACTATTTTCCCAGCATCGTTAAAACCGATATTCTGTACTGTGTGAATGGGTATATAAAGTTATTAAACAGTGGTGCAGTATATGTCATTCTAGCACAGTCAGATAAGTATAATATTCTTGCTGTGTTTGTATCCGTATGTGTAGTGAAGATATAGCATAAAATAAACAAAACACCCACCAAAGTACCTGACAGTCACATGCTGACATTGTTGTATTTCCTACTGTAATGTCAGTTGAGCTTGAACCTCTATGGCAGTGTTAAACCCACCCAGTATGATGCTGTATTCAGGAAAAAGAACTATGTAGTACTCTGTAGATATCTGTTGTATAGTGACTGAAAATGTGGTCTTATATTACTTTTTGTACACAAAGTTTTAAACTTAAGGAGCTATGAAGTGGGGAGTGAGAAAATCAAGAAGACAAAAATATATGACGACACGAAAGAATGTATCACTATTTTCGTTAATTGATGTGTAATAAAAAATATTTGTACATTTATATACAAAATGGCAGCGTGGTCATTCTAGTGTGATAGATCATCGATAGTTGACCCACATAGAGTGACATGTACATTTTAAAACAACAGGTCTACGTAAAAGGATTGAGTTGAAATGGCCGTATCCAGTAAAGCTACAAGTAATCAGTCGTAACGCAGTTAGTGAGTAGGAGTAAAGAAGTACAAGATATGCCAAAGATAGCGGTAAAACCGAAGGAACATCTGTTTGTTCGAGTCAACAATCCATATCGTTTATCCTAAGCTTTCCATCCAAGAGATCCAATGGGGTAAAAAGGGTTATAACGTTACATGCTATAAACACGCGAAGATGATCCAGTACCTACAATGACGTTCCGGGGGAAAGTTTATTAATAGCCGAGTCATTCTCAGATCGCCATGGAACGGGCAGGTGTGGAGAACGGAGCTTTTGTAGCTAACACCTCTCACAAAGATCCGAGATTGCCTGGGATTAAGGTAGAATACATTCATCAACTGACACAGGCCGCAGGTGGTTCTATTGATACCGAAGAGGGTTTGTTGGTAGATTTATGCGGTCATTTTGCCTAAGAAAAGGAAAGCCCACCCAGGATTAGCAACTCTCTGCTTATAGTTGATATGAAGCTTTATGAAAGCTTATATAATTTACCAGACGCTGTCATGGATGATGGGCCATGGATGATGACGTGCGTGATGGTGGGTGGGAACAGGTGTCAATAGCCGTACGTGCAAAACCAGCCGACTGAATGTGTCACCGCTACTGAACGTATGTATGTATGTGATCTACGGCATAATTACGGTGATCTTGTGCCTGTACAGGACTTGAATTATTGTAAGAGGTAACATAGCAGTGAGGTAATAATATTTATACGACAAATGAGACATGATCCGATGTGAATAGAGTTGTCTCAGCGATTGCGTATGTAACACCAACACAGACAGGACCAAATGTTTGCCTACTCTCCAAGCCGAGGTTGATGGGGGAAGATCGTTACCTTTTTATATGTGACCCGTTATTTTTGTCGCTACCCCCACCTTGGGTAACCTATTGGGCCCTCTCTGGGCATTGGATACTGCCTGGCCAATTTGATACTGTCTTTTTGCCACCCTAGGATCTGCTTGGAGATTAATGTTTGTCCAACGTCTAGAAAAATACAGCAAGTTTCAGCCGGCGTACTTTGAAACATGTGTGTTTGATACTTGTTGACACAATCCACAACGCCATCACCATTAAAGCCCCATTAATCATGCCACGTTTTTATCCAATAGTCATGTATCGATCGTTAAGTGCGGCGCTGGAGGGTTTCACCTTTGATGTAAGCTAATTTGAATCGAAATTGATCCCCAACAACCTACTAGATCTATCGTGTAGTGACAGTTGGGGGTGTCGCACTCGACATGGAAACAGTCCAGATAAAAAAAAATTATAAAACTTGAGTCCACAGATTAAAGCATTGAAGCATTCAAAAACACCATAGCAAAGATTTCCATCTATATTTATGGCTTAAGAGTAGATATCAGTTGTTTGCGGATTCGTGTGTATAAAAGAATGATGTAAATTCCATGATCAATATGTAAGGTGTTCCTTGAAATGTAGGATGTTCATCTTTTTGCAACAAATCCATTGCACTAACTATACGTACATGCGCATTTCTGTGGTCCCAACACTGCACCACAGGGACTGATATAAGTCTCCATCACTCGGCCCTTCCCCAGGCCCTCGCCCGCCCGCATATACGTACATCTAGACAATACACAACTCTTGTCTATACATCTTTAAATGTTTCCAGGCTAGTTGTCTTGAATGAAAAATGCGAAGATGAAATGATGGATGCGACAGTTTGTGACGGACATGCTGCTGGTGCTAGCCTTGGTGCTACACGCCATCACATGAACGGTGCTGACGGGCCGCAACACGCATATAGGGAGACGAGTAGCCTCCTGTGCAGGCCTCCGGGTGGGTGGGAGTTTTGATACGGCGTTTTGTAGAATTTTATCGCGACGGGTACAAACCTTCTCTGGGTGGCTTGTTGTAGGAAAAGAACGCGTTAAAAATGCTACAAAATGCTTTATCAAAACACCCACCCGCCCGGACGCCTGGTGGCACAGGAGACTCTAGGAGATGAATCGGCTGATAACATCATTTTCTCTTTCCTCACACGTTTGGCACACGAGGGACCTTAATGGCTCATCTAATAGTCTATTGATGTTCACGTCGGATTTTCCTTGTCGACGGAGGATTATGCATCGTCAACGACGTGATTACATTTTGTTTTTGCGGTTTGCCGGGCGTTTGATGTTTCTGCACCGTAAAAGATTATACAGCAGGCGGACTGGAATTTCCTTCTAATATCTCATCATAGATGATTTATTCAACTCCCGGTGCACGTGCCACGACAACATAATAGATGCATGAAACGTGGATTTTATTCTGTACCTGTTACACCATTACAGTAGCGCAAATACATGTGCCTGCTACAATCGTGCAATGTCATGGATGATGGGTCATGATGCTGGTCATAGAATGTCTAACATTATAGCATGTATGATTAAGTCATAACAACAGATATAAATAAATAAATAAAACATCAATTCAACTATTCTACTCTTTACTGTTTCCATTACAGCAGCGCATATCGCTATGTGTTATTAGCAACAATCTTTATATATGATGTGTTTTGTGAAACAGCGCTTACCCTTTACTGGTCATTTTACTTTTTACCAGTAATGTTATTTGTTAATCCTGCAATATTCTATATCGTATAGACTGTTCTTACATATGTGAATATGTCTCTTATGAATTTGTTGTCATGCCAAAACACAATTCAGCCATTCTGGCTTCTATGTTTGCGACAGTCTCGAAATAAACCATTCATATATGGTCTGAAAACCGGTGCTGAACCCAACATGGATTCCACTATTATAATAATCTGTACTTCTTTATACCATTACAGCAGCGCGTATCGCTATGTGTTATCAGCAACAAAATCTTTATATCTAATGTGTGTTTTGTGAAACAGCGTTCCCCTGCTGCAGCGGTCTGACAAACCGATGCTGACGGTGACGAACTATAACCATCATGGCGGCGGATCGATGCGCTTGATCTCCCGCCGAATAACGGCTGCACCTGCCGCCATATTGACACAACCAATTTCGTCCGAATCGCCCGGCCAGGATTTCCGTGTTATGTAGCCGGGGTGGTGACAACATGTTATGGAGATGTTGCGTGTCGGCGGGGTATTGTTCTCACATCGATCCACCTGTCCGGCGCACAGGTGTGGTGACACTGCAGGATCACACACACACACACAGAGGACACAGGGCAAACGTGTTATTGTAACATACTCCACAATAAGCCTTAAAAATTCACGAAACATTATAAAATACACGAAAGGTTTGCAAAGAACCCGTACTGAATAGGATTAAGCATATCGTATATGCAGCATTCGAGCTATTGTAAAAACTGATTTATGGTCTTAAGGATATCATGCGATGTCCTTGTGCAAAATGTTTATATATGCGGAGAAGGATGCATCGACCGATGATGATTGTTATGTCAATTGAAGGGAGGCTATTGTATCATATTGATTTGTTGGGGGCGCACAGGTGTGTTATACAGTGTTTGGCCACCGCTGATTATGAGATGAACGATAATTACCTGGGAAGCCATCATAATATTGGGTTATCAGTTGTTAGCCTCGGTGCCATCCTTGTAGTTTACGTGCGCTGACTGCGCTCTGCTAGTCGCTACTGCCAGCCAGCTGCTCAGCCTTTGGTATACGGTACGGCGCTAAATTTGACGGTCCAACCATCACGGTCTTATTTCCTACATAAAGCTTGATATGAAAGTGAAGCATTGCGTAACGGTCCACAATACGCTAACGGTGGGGACAGGTAGCGCGTGTTTTGAAAGCGCCTCCTGGCGTCGGCACCTTTGTGAACAGGTGATCATGGCGGACGCGCACCTGTCTGGGTGTAGGTGTATCCACTTGGGAATAAGTTACTGTCCTCTCTCTCACAGACACACACACACACACACAGACACAACACACAGACACAANACACACACACGACACACACACGAACGACACACACACACACACACACACACACACACACACACACACACACACACAGACACACACACACACACACACACACACACAGGCAAAAATGCATTACACACACGGGCATACCCATACCGTCACCTATTTCAACTCAAATCCAAGGTAATTTCGGGGGATCACTGCCGTCACGCGTTCCTATAGATATGAATGCAAAGGTCAGCTGTTAGCTCAAAAATCATCTGTGACACTTCCACATCTGCTACTCGGCACCGTGTCAGATGGAGCCCTTGGAGGTAAAATGGTGGAATGCGTTTAGTCTTTAGTAGAATGTGTTACGTTTCGGTCAGCCATGTGGGCATGGCCATGGGTGTCGCACGCATGCCACCAACAGCTCCTTTTTATCTGAAGGAGAGGAGGAGGTCTACGTAAGGATGCTGCCTTGTAGACACCCAAGCTTTTACGAACGCGTCACGCGTTATCTGGACACCCAGCTCTCCTGATTTCAGAGATGGAGCCGAGATGGATTTCTCTCCACATGCTTCC